TTGCGCATCATCTCAAATGCATGGAAATTTTTTTTTAAAAAAAAACTTTGCAACTTCATTTTAATCCAATGCATGGAAAATTTTGAAAATTGTTCACAAGTTGCAATTTTTCTCTAATGCATGGAGAATATTGAAAAAATTTCAAACATTGCAAATGCATGAAAAAATTTTAAACAGTGCAAGAGTTTCAATGCATGGATGGAATTTGGGAAAATTTTTCAAAAATGCATTAAAAATGAGACATTATGCACATGAGTAGCATTCCCAAGATGCGGTGAAATTGCTAGGAAGCGATGGAAATTTCCGGGAATGAAAATTAGAGTTGAGAAGGTCTAAGAAAAATAAAATTTTTGGCTTTTCTAAACCGTTTCCCAGAAAATTTTGCAAGGCACGAGCAATTTCAAAGAGAAGGAAGCTTGGAAATTGAAAGAATTGCTTCCCTTGCTTTGCTAAATTTAATGTCGATAGCTAGACGAAGTTAGAGCAGGTACTAATCCTCAAAATTCTCGATAGCTAGACACACCGAGATCAGGTTAGTCCTCCTTACCCTATACCATGTCTCTCAAGAGATTCAAGCTTCCCCAAATAGGATAATTCTTTTAAAAGCGAAGGAGGAAGAGCTTGAAGACAAAAGTGGAAAAGAGGTAGCGGAAAGACCTCAACCCACTCTTCATCCTCAATGAAGAACTTTGGATTATGGGGCTTATTTGGATTATGGGAAGATGGATTAGGTGAAGGTGCACCAAGCAACGACTTATGAAGGGTCATATTGAGCACGGGAATGCTCAACAAGTTATCCTTCAGACTTTCAACATCCTCCTCACACTTATCCGGCGGTTCGGGCTCAATAGCTTGAGATAACTCAGGAGAAGGAATGGGATGAGATGCAAGCTCCCAAGAAAGAGATACATTTGATGTTGACCAAGGAAGAGAATGAATAGGTGGATGAATATTAAGCAAAGAATTCACCTCCGAAATGGAATTGTCAACATTAAAATCCTCACAATTGAAATGAGCCAAACAAGCTTTTAGAGGATCCTCCATTGAAGGAGGTGCATCAAGCAAAGGATTATTTAGGGGTTGTTCTGGAGTTTTAAAGGATGCAATCTCATCATCTTTTTCCTCATTTTTAACCACAAATTCTTCCATTTTATGAGTGGCAACAATTTGATCTTCAACCACCATTTCAACATTTTCACATGTAATAACCACTTGATCATTCTCATGATGAAAGTTACTAGGAGTAATCTCATCATTCATAGAATTTTCTTTTGGATTGGCCATAAATTCAAATGAAAATGTTTCCTCCTCTTCATGATTTTTAGCATTAATCCTTTGTTGAATTTGAGATATTTGGTCATCTATCATTGCACTAACTTGGGACTGGTGATATGGTACCACTTGATTGATAGACTCTACTGTGGATTGCATGCTAGCAAGGGAGGCCAATAGTTGATTGTTGGAGTCCATCATTTGCGTGTGCATAGACTCTATCATTTGTTTGTTAGCAACAATTAGCTCATCCAATGGAGACGGTGGAAAAGGAGAAGAGGGCGGGAAAGGATGATCATTGGGTTGAAAAGGTTGCATATGAGATTGTGGGGTTGAATTTCCTATGTCATGCCACAAGAAATTTTGGTGATCTCCCCTACCCGAGTCATAACCATTAAAGTATGGATCACTACCCGGTTCAGAGAAATTTGCATTTGGTTGTTCTAGATAAAAATCCGAGAATTGTCTCGTTGGAAGACAATCTCTTGTATGATGTGAATTACTAGAGCAAAAAGCACAAAACGCATGTGATGTGTAGAATTGAGTTGGAAGATAACTACCCTCCATCTAGGACTTAAACATCAACAACACACAACATAATCAACACAACAATTCTTTATCATCAACTCCACATACAATGATATTCTCTTTCTCCTCAATTATCAAGACAAAAATTAAAATGGCCACAACAAGGACCGATGCTTGGAATTGAAAATACACAATTGAAATAGTCTCGACAAGGGCTTGCAATTTATCTACTTCTAAGCTTAACACATGCACGATATCCACAATTCGAAACTAGAAGTCACGAGACTTACCTGGGGTCCTCTAGACTTACAATTTGCTAGCAATCCCACGGCGAGCTTCGAGTCCCTAGAATCTTACAACACGAAGATAATCAAAACACACAAGGAATATTCACAAGACACAATATTCACAATCAAACTAAAATTAACCCTAAACTTTGGTTGCTAAACCGTTTGCAGTCCCCGGCAACGGCGCCAAAAATTGATCGGTTGGTCAATTAACATCAACCTTTGCAATAGCACGAATCATTGTAAAATAGGGCTATTGGTCGGGTAAGTCGAACCACTGGGACTGCGCTAGTCTAAGGCAACCTAAGTGTCTAGAGTCATTCTTAGGATGATGAAGGGGTGTTCGTAGAAGTTTTGTTTGTTGTCACTTAAATTAGGAATTCAAAGTGCATAAAACACTAATTTGCAAGGAATTTAGGATGAAAAGATTAAGAAGAGGAGACTAGGGAAGTGAATCCGCCTCCATCCCTATACATATGCTAGATTAGACCTAAATTGGGGGAAAAACAACATATGATGGTCAAGAGTTACATAGCAACACATGGTTGCCATATAAGTAATCAAGAGGTACATTAGGTCTCAAACAAGTATAATCCATCAAAAGATAAACATGCTTAGACTACCTAACTAAGGTGTAGCTTATACACATTTACTTAAATGAGAGACTATCAAGTTCTTGACAAAATGATAAAGCACATGGAGTTAGAGATTAAGCATACACCATCAAAGGATTTCCTAAGCAATGGTCTATCAAAGTCACCTATCAACATGCCATGAAACCATTTCATAACCTTGCTTCCACTCTCACCATGAAAAACTCAAGCAATATGATTACTCTAAGACATCATCTAAGACAAGATAATCAACTTAAAGAAATCATCCATACATGTATCAACATTCATTACAACAAATGAGGTGCTCTTGGTTATGAAAAGACCATAAAATATACATGGCAAATCCCCAAAATAGACTATCCTAGGACATGCTTACAAGGGAGGGACTTCATCACCTCCCTAGAGAAAGAGTTAGTTACCCATTGCTAAGCTAGAAGAAGGAAGAAGCTCCATCCAAGACTCCATTTTCGTGCTCCTACTGTAGCACTCAAGAACACCCTCCTCCTTGCTCTCTTCTCTCTCCTATATCTTGCTAGAATATAGGATAATGATATGTGTGGCCTTCCTTGCCTTATCTCCTTCAACAAAGCTCTCTCTCTCCTCCAAAAAACATCCCCAACCACCTCATAAAGAAGTAAGTAGAAAATGAGGAAACCAATGCACAAGTGGCTGCCAAAATGAGAATTCCCGAAGGCAATTCTGCCCCAAATTCGAGCACTCTAAGCAAGGCCTCGAGCACTCGAAAATGGAGCAGATTGCTCCATGCTTGCTTTGATTCGCCCGGACCTACTTTGGTAAAACAGCCATAACTTTGCGCTCTGAACTCCGAATGATGAACCGTTTAAAGATTTGGAGAGCTGATTCAGAGCTTTAAAAACTTCATGTTTTGATGAAGACCCATATCTCAAGTCTAGTTGGTCGAAAATGGGGAGAAAGGCAGTACTTTAGTGCTGCCTGGCAGTTTTGCGCACCTCTGGTAACAAGGCCATAACTCTCTGGTCCGAGCTCCGAATGATGAACCGTTTGAAGATTTAGAAAGCTAATTCAGAGCTCTAAATCTTTCATGTTATGATGGAAGTCCAGTTCTCGAGCTTTCTGGGTCAAAATGGTGAGCAAAGTCCTGACTCTACTGCTGATCTCGTGAAGCAATCTGCCCTAATTTCGAGCACTCGAAATAAGGCCTAGAGCACTCGAAAATTGGCCAGAATGCCCTATGCTTGGTTTGCTCCGCCCGGACCTACTTTGGTAAAACGGCCATAACTTTGCACTCTGAACTCCAAATTATGAACCGTTTAAAGATTTGGAAAGCTAATTCAGAGCTCTAAAAACTTCATGTTTTGGTGGAGATCCAATTCTCAAGGATGGTTGGTCGAAAATGAAGATCAAGCCAGAATTTCATTGCTGCCAGGCAGTTCTGTGCACCTCTGGTAACATGGCCATAACTCTCTGCTCTAAGTTCCGAATGATGAACTGCTTGAAGATTTCGAAAGCTAATTCAGAGCTCTAAATATGCCATTTTATAGTGGAAGTCCAGTTCTCGAGTTTACAAGGTCAAAATGGCGAGCAAAATCCTGACTCCACTGCTGCCAGAAATTCAGAATTGTGCCTTTTGATGGCCAAAACTCCACAAAGCCTTGATTTTGCTCCTTTTTTTGGCAAATGGACCTGAAAATATATACATACACACAAATAAAGATAATCTACTTAAATAATCAAACGATGGAATTAACTAATGCAATTTAGGGCGCTTGAATATACAATATTCGGCGCTTATCAACAAGGTTTATATTGATATGACTTAACTATCCATAATAATTGGGTTTAAACAGATAATATATTATATAGGTCATAATCACGATTATAACACGTTGAGTTAATTGAGTCATAAACGGGTTACACGGGTTAAACTCCTCAACCCTAACCCGACACGATTAAGTAAACGAGTTAATCGTGTCGACTCTTTTATGACCCAAACCTGTTTATGCCAAGCCCAAACCCTTTTAACTCGTGTCGAGTTCATGTCGTGTTGTCGTGTCATGTCGTAATTTGCCACTCCTAATTGTGGATGTGGTAGTAAAAATTGGGATGGAAGAGGAGAAGAGAGCATTTGCATTTCATGTGTATTGCAATGGTTGTGAATTCATGAAATTCATGTATGTTAGTATTATTCATATCCCCATGATCCCTTCTTCTTATTCTTCTCTTCTTTGGTTGTGGCTCATGAAATTTTTAGGAATGTATTTTAGGCTTACTTTACTAAGTTGTTGCATGTGTTCACCTTATTATTTAACATTTTCAGGACTTCGGAGATGTTATAGCAAGAGATGTGCATCCACAGACATAGATGTAGTTAGGATTATAATTTTTGTTAAAGCTATGTAGTCATGGTCATGGATGCCTTACTTTTGTAATCGAACTCTTTGGGAATTATATGTAATGAGCATGTATGACTTGATCTTCAAATAATTTATAAACGACTTATTGTTAATGATTTTGTGCAAATCTTATAGCATGTAATGTCTCTAATCTTATGTTTAGCCTTACATTGTCTTGGATTATGTTAAAAATGGAGTACATGTAACCGGTTAGATGAGTTATGTAACCGGTTAGATGAGTTATGTAGGATGAGACATCTAACCGATTAGTTGGTCTTGGCAAAATGTATGTTCACTAGACTAGACCATCTAACCGGTTAGATGATCCAATGTAACCGATTAGTTGCTCTAGTATTTGTAATTTGACCCCAGGTTTTGGTATAATTACCTAATTACCCCAGACTTCAACCAAATAATAGAATAGCCATAGTAAATGACAGATCTACCCCGGATGAGTTTTGAAACTATAATAAACGTACTAAATGACAATTTTTTCCTTTTGAATTCTAAACTGTTATTTGGCCATAATAAATGACCGTTATACCCCTATGGACTCTTGAACTAGTATAATGACGTTAAATGACCATAGTACCCTTGTGTGACCTCGGGTTTGGATAAAGACCTGGTTCGTGATCCGAATCCCTAGATTTGAGTCGTTACAAATCTCAAATGTAAAAATTATCTGTAATTACAAAATCAGGAAAGTGAAAAGTAAGAACAATAACTTTTTTTGGAGTAAATTCAATCACTCTTTCTGATTTATTACTTTCCAGATTTTTTAATTATAGACTATTTGTGCATTTGTGATTGGACCATATCAGTAGTTAGTAGGGGTGACTTTCACCGGTGAGTATGCAAGTCTTGTCCTAAACATATGCACCCCCTCTAAGTCTAGCTTTTAATATGAAATCAAACTTTCCACGTCACTTTTACACCACGTAACTCACATTTAAGATATAATTTTTCAAAATTATATTTTATTTAATTTGGACTAATGATTGGATGTAGATGATTGCATGGTTCATTGAGGGTCCTACTCTCAGACAAATAGATTGTCAAATCTAGAATTCTTAAGTTAGTGTTGTCATTTTTATGTTTATGAGTATACCTCATAAATGCTTCAACTATCTTTAAATTGTTAAAATATCTTATTAAAAAAAAAATTCAAATTATTCTATGCCTTAGTTTGAAATTGTGTAATTTTATAAATTGTGTAATTTTAAAAAATTATTATTTGTTGACACGCATCTGTATATATATATGTATATAGCCTTCTATATTTTGATAACTTTTCACTTCTCAACAATTATATATATAGCTTTCTATACTTCAATGTCGGCCAACGTGATTTCACTTGACTTGGATTTTTAAGCAACAATTATATATAGAAATTCTACTATAGTGAGTGTAATAATTGTAATTTGAACAAATCTCAGAAAAGTGAGCGTAATTTATCCATAAATATATTATTTTGAAAATTTTGCAATTTTTCTCTTACGATCAGAAGTTGGAAAAAACGGAACTTTCGATCCATGATTGTGGACATAGTAAACCAAGTGACTTCTACATATCACATCTCTCACTCTCTTTGCTGCTAAGTGAAGAATGTGAACAAGCAAAAATAATACATAGTTCAGAAGACAAGTTTCTCTAATTTTTCTTGCACTCGTGAAGTTTCTATGCCAATTCTTGGCAAAATAGCCTGAAAAAGTATATATAAAGTATTATTAATCTTGTAAATGAGATATGATAATAAATACATTGTGATTTGTGAGAATTTTGATGTGATTTTGATAAGAGGAAGTCCAAGTGCGTACGTCAAGTAATAAAATAATTCACCCTTCAAAGAACTGAAGAAGTCAACCTAGTGGATATAAGGAGTTTAAATAGAAACTTCTTAGAAAATGACACTTGCAATATATATATATATATATTTACAGAACTGAAAAGATCTTTCCAATAAGAATAATCAACTTTAAAGGTAATAAAAAAAAAATGTGTCGAATTAAAAGAAAATTAGGGTGTGCCTGATTTGTCATTAAGAAAATATTTTTTTTTTATTTTTACAGAACTGAAAATAAAAAAAGAATATACAAAATGTTTACTTGGTTTAGTTTTTTAGAAACTCAATTATAAAAAAAACTTATTTTGAGAAAATTGTCTTTTATTTGAAAATAATTTCTCTTTTCTGAATGACAAATCACACCGTTCCTTAAATTCTTCAAATATGCATGTTATTTACAGAATAAAAAATAAATAAATCAGTCAGCAAAAACATCATTTTACTAAAAGGAGATGATAAATGCACTCCTCTTAACTAAATATACTTCTTTTACTGTATTTTTTTTTAATAGAAATAACAAATATACTTCTAATTTTTGATTTTGTAAGAACACTGAATCATTTAAGTAAAAATTTTAAATTCCACATCATTTTATTGTTCAATGTCTTGCTTCTCAGTTCACTTAGCCAAAGTTGCCCTAGCTAGTACCTTTTTTAAAAAATGAACAATACTTCTATGAGGATGAACTTCATTTCAAAACACGTCTATCTATGGAAGGAGTCATAGTAGTGTATATGATGATTGTGTGAATGTATGTATAAATATACCTGTGAATGGATGGTATATAAGATCTTGTCACCCTTAGTAGTGTAGTTTGCACTCAAAACTTCAGCACATTCTTCTTCGAGAACAGCTAGAACTTCATGCAACATGAAATTTCTGTTCAAACCAGTAATCAATTTCACCTCCAAAGTTGATCCAATTTCTTCAACTGCAAGTACCGGTAACATCGGCAAGGCTTCCAAGCTATGCTCATTCTGATCACCACCCGTGAGTTGTTCCTTCCTTCTATGCAGTTCTTGAATGCTTTCCTTCAGTCCTTTTATGTAGTTAGTCGCTTGCTCCAACAAAACAGGCAATGCTATTCTTTCCTGATCACAAAACAAAAGCATTAGTTCATTTTGTTTGTGTTTTCATTTATGTGTGTGTTTGTTTGTGTGTATATATATAGAGAGAGAGATACGTTGGATGTTTGGGTAAAGATGAGAGAGGAAAGGATGGAAAAAAGATTATTCATTTGCATTCTTCTCTTTTTCTCCAATACATTTCTGCCTGGTTTAAGGGAGCTGTTGCCGGGCTGCATTTTCTTTTTCTCTCGAGAATTAAAACCCAATGCTTGCTTGAAAGACCGTTTATATATATATATATATATATATATATATATATGCTTGTATGTGTTCACAAGTACTTACACAGAGCTGGTCACTTTTTTAATACCCGTTTTTTTTGAAAAAAAAAAAAAAAAAAATTAATTAAATTGATTGTACCCACAATATTGTGGAATAAAAAGTCCGGTTTGAAACTGTTTGTTTGAAGTTCGAACTTGGAAATGCGTAGTCAATGGAAATGCGGGCGCCGAAATATATTTGTAATATTTCGCATGTTGTCCTTATAACTTAAGAATAAATTGAATAATTGTGCTTTAATTGGGTAATATTATAGTCAAAGTCAAATAAATATTCTTCCATCATTGTGACTCAATTTTTTTTTTATACTGTAACTACTTGTAGAATTTTATGGCCGACTTATTTATGTGATTTGAAATTGAATAGACCTTAGGAATAATTGTGCATTAAGTGGGTGATATTATAGTCAAAGTCAAACAAATGTTCTGCCATCATTAAATGTTTGTACTCAAATTCTGTTATATTTAAATAACAGTTTTTAAAATTTTATGACAGACCAATTTATGAGATTTGAAGTTGAATACTCATTAAGTCTTAAAATAAGTATTTTATTTTAAGAACCGTGACTCACATTACATGTCACTTATCCTAAAACGAGGATGTATCATTAACATTCACATAAATACTATCTACTCAAATAAAATTAAGATTGTCAGACCCTTTATTATTACTCTTTCACTACAAAATAGTGAAAATTTGTAACCTTAGAAGATTTTGATTCCAAATGCTTATGTAGGCACTATTTTATTTCGACGTAAAATACTCTTTTTGAAAAATATTTTTATTTTTTAAATAAAATATATTTTTTATTTTTACTTTGTCAGTATTTGACAAAGATCTATATTGAAATTGAAATCGAGTTCATCGGATGTGATATGTAAAATAACTTGTCTAAAATTTATAAATAAATTATTTTTATTAAATTTTAATATATAAATATTTTTTATAAATATTTTACGATAATTAAACACCAAAAAATAAAAAATATTTTTTAACAAATATTTTACATTCAAATAAATGAAACCATAATTACTAATTGCTCTGGGCAAAATATATATTGTAGTGAAAAAATGTTATTTTGGGATCAACGTTTTTGGTCGTCTCCATCCATTCCCTATTCAATTACTTTACCATGTGGTTGGCTACAAATGAGACAAATCTCTACCTTCAATAGGATGCATTTGCTGTAGATTCCTTGGTGTACCTTATGCAATACTGACCTAAAGTCTCACCATCACTTATTTTTCTCATGTCATTTCTCTCCCGAACCTTGTGTTGGAGAGAGAGAATTTTGCAACGGTGGTACTCGGTACCAGCACGCTATTTAGATGTGATGGTGTTGGAATAATCAAATCTCTTCAATTCACGAGAGCTAAATATCTCCTTATTCACCAATAATATCATCATGGCTCTGATACCAAATAGGAGAAATATGAATCGATATATTATACAAATATGAAAAAGGAACAAAGTTTGAACAGACTTACAGAAAACTTTCTTTAATCGTCCACAAAGGCTAATAGGGGAAATATGGATCGATATATTATACAAATATGAAAAAGGAACAAAGTTTGAACAGACTTACAGAAAACTTTCTTTAATCGTCCACAAAGGCTATTACAGAGAAATATTACAAAAGAGAGGAAAGAAAATTGAAAGATTGAAAGATACATTGAAGGGAAACATTGCCTTCTATTTATACATAAATTGGACTTAAAATGAACATTTTGAAGTCCGCATAGTGCATGGGATCGTGTGCTAGAATAATGCAGTCGGTTGGCCCACCACTAAGTGCTGTCTCCTTATCGGATAAAAAGTAGACATCTGATAAAGGAAATACTGTTGAATCAAAGACTTTTGGGAAAAGTTCTTTGTCTTCTTCTGTCGGCAGGATAAGAGGAATCTTTACTTTTTGGGTGGATTCATCTTGTCCTTCAAATGTCCTGTGAGAGAGTCCCAATAATCTGCTATTGAAATCTCGTCTTCAGAATTAAGATCTTCATTGGGATCTTGAGCATAACCTGTGAGACAGGAAAACTGATTTCCGTCTTGACTGTTCTGGCTAGAGACTGATACCATGGATGCATCATCTCTTACTGTAGGAGTGGAGGATTCAAAGGATTTAACAAATTTATTCCTCATAAAATCCATGCATTTAACCATTAAATCAGCTTCGGTAATTAATGGTTGTTGTTTTCTGATCATATCTTTAACAAGTTCAAACGGGTCAAAGATTTCTTGTTCCGGAATAGTTAACGTTGGAATTTTATCCATATATTCCATTGTTTTCTTTCTGATTTGATGGAGGAGGGCTTGGATAGGTTCTTGAGTCATGCCTGACCACCATCTGTAATAAAAGATCCTCTGGAGGACCGGTAACTTGTCAGTGGTATAACCACATTGGAAATCCCATTTCCAAATCCAAGGGATTCCAAATTCAGTAAAGAACAATAGGGTGGATTTCCCTACAGGAATATTATCCTGTCCTCGTAATTGAGGATGAAATTGTTGCCATGGTAAATATAATTGACCAATTGATTCGGGCAACATATCCAGATCAGGGCCAAATATAGCCCACCAGGGTATAACCCAGTTGGGGAAATCAGCCTTAACTGATTGAGGGCATATCTTGAGAAACCAAGAATGCTTATGCTTCGGATTTTGATAAAAGAACGAATATGTCCAAGCTGAGATATAATCCCAATAATTATAACTGTGACCATAGGATATTTTTCTTGGCAAATTTGGATTTAATCCCCAGTCACTAGGCCGAATAAGCCTCTTAAAGATAGCTTTACTATAAGTAAGAGGACTATCTTTGGAATTCGGAAATTGCTTCGTGTGGTTGATCTCCACAGAGGAAGTTTCAGTAAGAATGGCTTCATAGATATATCTATGGCGACCATCCGGTGCAGCATATTGTTGAGTTTGGAAATATCTGGATTTTACTTCCCAAGGATCTGGCATCCATTGCTCATCTTGAGAATCCAGTACCAATACTGTTTGAATATACCTTTGATTAGGTATCCATGGAGTTTCTTGTTCAAGAACCTCTTTCATGGTTGGTTTCTGTTGTTGTTGCTGAGAACTACTGCTTCTTTTAGAAGGAGTTTTGAGCAGATCAGCAACATGCTCCAAATATGGAAATTGATCATCAGTAAGTGGTATAACCACTTTGGCCTTAGCCTTGTTTTTGCCACGAGCCTTTGGAGTATTACCCCGGCCCTGCCCATGGGGGGGCTGATTCATGAACCCTGCAAAAATTCACGAGTTAGAAAATCCGGTAAAGAATTAGAACTGCCTTTAATATATTCAATAGAAAAATCAAAAGCAGATAAATCAGCTTGGCATCCAGCAAATATCTGTTTGGAAACTAGATTTTTGACATCTTTTTCCAGTACTTGTTTAGCAGCACTACAATCAATGCGTAACAAGAATTTCTGATTGATTAAATCATCTTGGAATTTATAAATGCATTTAACCAAAGAAAGAATTTCCTTTTTTATGGTTGAATAATTTAATTGTGCATTTTTCCAAGTTCCTGAAGTGAAGCGAACCAGCTCCTCTATTCCTGTATTTGGATTTTTCTGTTTAAGAATACCACCATATCCAATATTGGAGGCATCTGTTTCCACAATTTTGAACCATGAAGAATTGGCTAGAGCTAAGCAAGGGATTTGTTTGGCTCTAAGTTTAATCTTCTGGACTGCCTTGGTATGATCCAAAGTCCATGGGGAAGGAGATTTCCTTAACCTGGTGTACAAAATTGCTGTGTCCTGTGCAAGATTTTTGTAGTGGCTTCGAATATAATTCAAGCTACCCAGAAATCTTTGAAGTTGAGTTTTATCCTTGATTTCATCTGGAAATTTAGAGGCAAACTCAATACTGCGATCAATAGGTCTAATTTTCCCATCACAAATTTCATGACCAAGAAATCTGACCTTAGTTAAAAACAATTTTAGTTTAGGAGCAGAAACTACTAAGCCACTTCGGTAAATGACATCCTTGAAAATTTTCAAGTGTTTATAATGCTGATCTATTGATTTTGAGAATATGAGAATATCATCAATATAAACAATAGAAAATTCAGTAAAAGGATTAAATATGTCATTCAAAATATGTTGAAATTCTGAAGGGGCATTTTTTAACCCAAATGGCATTACTGTCCATTCGTACTGTCCAAAGGGTACGCAAAAGGCTGTTTTGTACCTGTCTTCTTCGGTAATTTGTACCTGGTAATATCCAGATTTAAGATCAAATTTAGAAAAGATCACAGCAGATTGTAACCTATCTAAAAGATCTTTGATGTTGGGAATTGGGTATCGGATCCAACTTAAAGTAAGATTAAGTGGCCGATAATCAATAACCAATCGAGGAATTCCTCGTTCCTTTTCAGCATTTTTATTGACATAAAAAGCTCTGCAACTCCAGGGGGAGTAGCTAGTAGTGACAAGCTTTTTAGCCATTAAAGAGCTGATTTCAGTTTTACATAATTCCAAGTAGTCTGCTTTCATGTGGCTGGGACTAGCTTTAGAAGGAATCATGCTATCGGTAAACCCCTTTTCATAGGGTAAAGAAACAATATGCTTCTTTCTGGCCCAAAAAGCATTAGGAATCTCACTACAGATTTCTTTTAGAAAGTGTTGCCGTAGTGACTCAATTTTCTGTTGCTCAGTGGGTTGTACCAATCTTTGATTAATTGCTAA